AGTTGAATAAGACATCTTAAAAACCGTACCCTGGGGCATAAGTCCATTCACTGACAGTAAAATCACCCCTCAAAAAAGCAGTTTTATGCAACATCTAGTAGTTTAATTTTCCAGCTGCCCACAGAAATATATAAGGAACAGAAATTAAACTAATTATGTCAGCAGCACAGTGAACAAAACTTTAATTGTATTACACACTAGTGAGACATTTGCCAAACAATACAAAGGCCCTTAAGGGTCGAAAACTTCTTCGGAATATAAATGATTCCCAATCAATATGACAGAAATTGGTTTGTTTAGACAATAAATAGATTCATGGCTGAGACAAAAAAATTCAACTGACTCATAATTCCATGTTAAAAATAATGATATGAAACTAATCTCTAAAATGGCTTTAAGTCACTCCATGATTTACATATATGCTGTATCATTAATAGTCCCTTTAAACCAGTATTGTACTAATCAGCTTTTTTTAAACACCTTGCCCACAAAAGAGCTTACTCATTTAACTGGGAGACAGGTGTTAGCAACTAGCAACCTCTTTTAGCCTCAAGTTCCAGGGGCCTGACCTGTAATTATTACAGCGTGATTGGCAAATCAAAAGGAATGACACCAAGGGGAAAAGGAGATTGGAAAGAAAAACGAAAGACCAGAAAAAAGAAAGGTAAGGCAAGAAAAGGGTGTCCTCAGGTGCTACTTAAAGGGGGCTGCCTTCAAAGCCTTCTCTCCTAACCTAGCAGCCAGGCTACGGTCCAAATACAGACGGCGTAATTTGGATAATTTTATTCATTTTCCGGCAGACAGTAACTCTGGGCACATGCCAATGCTCCGCTCATTCTAAGAAAAAAAAATTTTAAGTGTTGTTAATTGTCCTATGACTCATTCTTCTCACCCATATTCCCTGATTCTTAACTTTAGTCCTCTCACTCTTGCATACATTTTCTAAAAGCTGACTGAGTAGCTGTTCCTGGAAAGAGACAGAGAAGGCTGGATTTAAAGAGACATTTTAAATCTGTGGAATAAAAACCCACGACATAGTGAGAGAAGGGCCTTTACTGAACCGCCTCCAATGTACAGTGAACACAGTTTCTCGCGTTTACTCCACATAACAATCATACCAGATACTATTTTCCACCTTGCAGATAAAAAAAAGTGAAGCTGGCAGAGGTTAAGTAACCTGCCTAACAGCACAGCAAGGAGGCCAGGGAGCCGGGACTGGAAATGAAATTGTGAGGCTTTTCCAAGTGTAATTCCCGGCAATACCCATTGCCTGACCCTTGTTTTCACTCAGATGGTTCAGTATTTTAGCAATTTTTCTTTCTTTCATGAACTCAACAAAAGACCAATGACTATATTTTACTATTTATGAAGCACCTATTATTTTCAATAAAGCTTCAGCTATGTAGAAATAAAACCACTGACAAGATGGCTGTATTTTTAAATCCTACATCAGAAAATTCCTAGGCGTCTCTCCCATCCAACACAGATCATAACTAGATTCAACTCTCTATTCAAACCTCCAGTTGTTTCCACATTATCATTCATTTGTCCACTCAGGAGATAAAGGAAGCTACTTTCACCAAAAACCCTCCCTCATGACTCCTGACAGATAATGGGGGGTGGGGGTGGGGAGGTGGGGAGGGCTTGCAGTGAAGCAATTTGCATAGAAGTTATAAAAGCTCTTTGTTATCTGTCATGACTAGGAAATAGGCTATTCTAGCAAATCAAAACATCCTGGATAGCATAATGATGCTATTAGAGGGGACTACCAATTTATAAAGAATTTCAATACGTACAATTTCAATGTTAAAGTTCTAAGAAGAAAAAGAGAAGGGAATCCAGTTTTCAAAGTTCCATAATATCTGATGTTCAGGAGACGAAGTTAAAAAATATGTTTAAGTATTAATGAAATAAAACAGTGGTTACCAGACAAGGCTGCATGTCAGAAGAACCTGGGAGTTTAGACAAAGGTTTTTAAAATGTAGGGGCCTGCTCATTACTTACCCACTCAACCAAAATCTCCAGGAGGTAGGGCTAGAAAATCTGCATTTTTAAAGAATCCCTCAGTTGCAAACTGCCAGGCATCCCATCTTCCAGAGTGGCTGGTTATTGCAAACTCCTTGCCATAAAACTTGCTAAAAAGGCTGCACTGACTATCAGGTGACCTTCCTTTAATGATGCAGAAGATTTAAGGATTTCTCAATGCCACCAGGTCCTCAACCACTAGTAGTCACTAGTCACACTACTGGCAAAACCAGAAAGGAATGGTTCACGATTTCCTATTGGTAGAAAGCTGGAAAAACCAGCTTTGTTTTACTATCAAAGAGCTGGTTTTCCCTGAAACGTAATGCAGATTTTATGATTGCTTTGAAAAAGGAAAATGTGGGGCCATCAGGTGGTGTGGTGGTGAAGGCTTATTCCCACATGGTTGACAGCCAGTCCCAGACCTGGTGGCTTGAAATTCATGCCAGGCATGTGTGTGTGTGTGCCTAAAATCCCAGGAAGAGAACGAAGAGAAGAAATTGTGGTGTGGCCATCCCCGGGGCAGGGGAGAGGGGATGATTTCTCACTTCCTCTGTCTCTCTTCAGTGAGTGAGTGGATGCACCTTATGGCAAAAATCTAAAAAAAAAAAAAAAAAGGGAAAATATTTTCAAACATGCAAAACCCTTAACCCATTGCTTAGCTCCACCTTAGAATAGCAAGAGGCCAGAATGAATCAAACATGTGGAATCTTCAATGTGAGTAAGAAAACAGAGGAATTTCATGGCAGGCCAAATGAGAAAGGATACCGGGTTTATACTAAGCCTAGCATAACAACTAGGTAAAAGCACTGTCCTTGACCAGAGCAACTGTTAAATCCTGGAAACCAGCAAGTTGAGGTCTTTGAACATGAAAGGCCAATTCCTATCTATGTAAGATGGTTTATATGTGAAATAGAATAAGATATCCTACTAGGAGTCAAGATATTGGGGGGACTTTAAAACTCTATGACCAGGGCCAGCCAGTGGACTGGCGGTTAAGGTGACTGGATCTCACATGGAGGTTGGAATGAGGTTGGAGTCCCAAATTTGGGGGATGGGAGTGCAAGCATGGCCACAATTCTGAAAGAAGAAATGGAGGAGAAGGGATTCCAGTATCTGTGGCCATCCACCATGGGGTAAGCCGTCTCTCTCTCAGGTGAGTGGGCCTGCCCTCTAGCAAATGTTTTAAAAAACTCCATGACCAATACGAGGTCACAAAACAAGAAAAGTGATCAGGTTGTCTCCCTATTAATTAATGGGAGTCTGTGTATATGAAGACTGTCCTTCCAACTGCCAAAACCGTTCTTAAATAAACACCAAGTAACTATTACCAATAATCCATAGCCTAACAAAAATTACTAGTAAACTTCACCAAACCAGTAACCATTACCAAACAATAATAATGAAGCCTCCCTCCCCAGAGATGTCACCAGTAACAATTTAAACTATGTATCTCATTAAACTCTAAATTGTATCTTAACTCTGTATTTCAGAAGTTATGGGATTCCAAGGTGCAGTGGCTAAATCTTTCCTCCTAAAATAGAAAATTATGGCTAGCACAGGTTTGGTATAAAAATCTAACCTAGCATTAAAAATAGCAGTATTAAAGGTTCTATTACAAGCATAAAATCAGGATAGAATGATTAGGTTTACATTAGTGTTTTCAGAAACTCCTAGGCCAGACACTCATACAGATAGATGGGTGTGGCTGTGTTAAACATCATAATGCACATGTAAATAGAAGAAAAACTGTGCCCTTTTTTGTTATTGTTGCTGTTTGTTTTGTCTTCTTAAATGCTGGTCATTGAAAATGCATTTCCACTGCCAACTTAAAAGACCTTAAAGAGGTGGTTCTATTACATGGTACTAAGCAGAATCAACTAAGCTTTCTGAGAAAAGCTTTCTTTTGATTGTTTTTGCAGTTGGATAACTGGTCAATTTAGAGTATTTACCATCCTTTTATTCCAATGTAAACAGGCAGGATAGCAGCTGTCCACCAAATCGATACTGAACATTTTCAGTGGGCTGGTCTTTGTAAGTAGACATTAAAGTGTATGTGTGTGTGTTTATCCTAATTACATGGACATTTTCTTCAATTACAATTATTAGTTAGCCCTGACACATCGATCTGCAATTGTTATGTATAATATCCATTTTCACACTTAAGAAGTGAACACTTCTAGGGGGCTGGCACGAGGCTTGGTGGTTAAGGCACTGGACCCCCACATGGCTGAACATGGTTCAAGTCCTGGACCTGGTGGCTTGCTTTCTCACTTTCCCTGTCTCGCTGTCTGTATCTGTCTCTTTCTGGTCAAATCCAATCATAATAATAAAATAATTATTTTTTAAGAAGAAATGAACACTTCTAAAATAATCTAATATATGAATTGTACTCTGAAGCCCAGAGTTAGGAAATATGCAACAAAGTTTCAGAAATCCTTGGCATCATCTATTTCCTTGAATGTGAAAGAGAATGCAAGCAGGGAAAAGGATAAAGAAGTTGTCAAACCTGAAATCCTCTGAAATACAAGGAGGTGTTATGGCCGGTTTCCAGCCCTAGAACTCCGTGTGTGTACACACTGGACCAACAAGTCCCCTGCCTACTCCCTGTTCCTAGAAAATGGTACAGCACATGGGCAGCCTTGCCCACATCTCAGTAAACTGAACTGTGACTCAGAGAACCACAAGGCTCCCCCAGTCGCCGGAGTTTCTGCAGTGACAGGAAGTGTCTGTCCTCCAAACCAATCACAGGGATGCATAATGAACTAATTGCTTTCTTAGAAGGCCACATGCACCCAGGATGTTTGCTCATGTCGTCACTCAGGCCTTTAACCAGAGTGCAAAGTGACAGTCGTGGGTGAAGCCCTATTTCCAGGCAAAAGACCATTCTTCCTTGTGGGTGACTGGGAGGAGCATGGTATACTCTTCCTTGATTTTACAATACAAGCACTTTCCCCCCCTTAGAATAAATGACAGACCAATACAAAGGAGAAAATACACTGTTGTCTCTTCTGCCAGCCTGAAATGCAGCTCTGGGCAGACGGATGCCAGCGGACGCTCTGGGCTCCTCTGGTCTGGGTCAAATGTCTCCTGGGCAGCCGGCTGGAGAGGCCCCACTTCCCTCTTGGTCTTCATCGCCACACAGGGGCGACCTCACACACACGTCGTGAACAGAGGGCAGCTCCCCGGAGAGAATGGCAATTTCAAACTTCTGCATCAGACCTCCAAACTCCAAACCCCCGTCCTCCAGCGCCTCTCTCCTCCAGGAAGCCCGTGGGGCTCCTCCACTGGGGCAGGCTGGCTCCTTGAAAAGGGCCGCAGACCTGCCTCAGTTTCCCCAAGTCGCCGGGACCTGCCGGTCTGCACGGCGCTTGGGGACAGTCGAGGACAACCGTCTCCGGGACCGTCCCCACGGGGGAAACGCTTTCTTTGAGCGGACTTTTAATGGGACAGGTGTGGGCTGCCCCGAATGCGACCTCCAGCGAGGAAGGGGTTTCCCCAACCCGAAGGGCAGGGGGCAGCCCAAAGCC